GGAGGATGAAAAATAGGAGGATACATTTTCTATCCTTCAAGGAGGGAAAGTAGGAATAATATACTTTCTTTCTTTTGTGTTTGGTTGGATGGATGAAAAATAAAAATGACTAATTTTTTTTCTCGAACTACTATTAGGGGGTGATAATAGAGTTGTGTCGGGTCAGATTTGTGTTGATTCATTACGGATTTGTGTCGAACATTAATTACACCTATTTCAACTCATTTAACTAATTGTGTCATGTAGAGTTACGAATTGACTTGTTTATTTTCGTATTCGAGTTAATGAAGTTCATGTCATAAAATTCGTGTCGAGTTCGAGTCGTGTTATCGTGTTGAGTCAAAATTTTCATCCGTAGTTAAGATGAAAAAAATATTTTTTTAAGTTAAAATATATATATATATATATATATATATATTTTAAATATATATATACATATTTTATTATTATATTTTTATATAAAATTAATGTATACATAATATATGTACATATAAAAAGATAAATAGACAAATGAGATACATCTCAACACAAATAATTAATTTTATATCCACTTTCCTTTCGATTTTGGGGGAATTGATTTTGGTGAGTTGGAAGGAAAGTTAATTCATCCACTTTTTTAGCCTTCTTATTTTCCTTCTTTACTAAACATAATGTTTTATTTATCCCTCCAACTTTTCATCCTTCATTTTTTCATTATATCAAACGGAGCATAATGAACCAGTAAAGGTGTGTATGATAAAGTTAGAAAATTCAAATTGATTAAATTATCAATAATATTATGCTGATCAAATTTTGGAACCAAATCAAGAGTCATGTCATTTGAGCTCTTGATTTAATCTCAAAATTATTGGTTGAAAATTGAATCCCCACTCTCTTTCTCCCGCCCTTTGGGTGGGAGAAAATTGCATGGTGCATAAAGCCTAGCGTGAGAGAAAATGTGGTAGATTGGTATACTAATCAAAACCCATGCGATTGGGTTTTTGAGATATGTTTATATCCTAAAATATGATATATTTTTTTCAATAATAATGATCTTGTGTATGAAGATATTATACGATATTAAAAATTGAACTGATCTTATAATATTTGTATTTTAAATAATAATTTAATTTTTTTAATTACACAATTTAAAATTAAAATGAGGAAAGACGTATGTGTAAATTGATGAGATTGTTTGACATTGGAGGTAGTGTTAATTGAATTGTTCGACATTGAGCAATACAAAAAAAATTGGGATAAATTTTATACCATTAAATCAAAATAGATAAAAATTTATTAATTTGAACAATTATTGTGTATTATAAGTTGAAAATTCAACCTACTAATTATAATATTAATTAGATATTTCATCTTTTGAAATGGTTGTACAAAAACAAAAGAAACATGTGAGTCCCGCGGTGTGGCATCAAATTAAATGTCATATTTTGTAATTATGGTAGTATTTTTAACAATCTTATATTTCCTCCAAAGAAATATTTAAAATATATGGACCCACCCACTTCCTGGGCTTGCGTGGGGCCTTTTGTTGTCAACGCTCGTGCAAAATTGCGCCACTCTTGTGCATAGCCCTATCAATCGTACAAGATGAAATATATATATGTACTAAATTTTAATAGATACGTATTAAAAAATATTTTATTTATATTCAACATACGATTTATACATAACACGAATTTGTTGAGAGACATTTCTTTAGATACAATAGTTAATTAAAATATATTAAAATATTGCATTATTTATTTTAAAAAATTACTTTTACAAAGTTATTTCAACTATACTCCTTATTTTAGCTAATTACAATTAATATTTTAAGCCAAAAATATTGCATTACTTGACACGTCATCAAAATATAAAATAGCTAGTCTCTTAAAGTACAAAAAGAGTGATTTAGTTCTCTAAATATAAAATAGCTAACTAGAGAGACTCTCTAAACGTAGAGAACCATTTAGCCCAAAGATAAAATAACTAATTCCTTGGAGTAAAATTTTGTAGTTTGACTCTTTATTTCCAAAGATCGCCGTTACTAATGGAGTCTCGATTGATTTTTCTTTCTTTAACTGTTTAGATGTTTCAGTTCTTTAAGTTTGAAAAGTTCAAAGAGCATAGACTAGCCATAGAGTTTAGATACGATTTTTCGATCAAAGATCCATAGATCACATATGGTATCTCTCCATGGCCTTTTGCCTCTGAAAGCGTCTTTCCTTCTTAATGCCCGGACATCCATCCAAAGTATTTTTTTTGATCTTGTATATTGTGTATTTTTTTTTACTGGCTTTATTTATACTTAATTTATTTATTAATTATGTTTTGTTAAAGTTCATTTGTTTAGAAAAATTGAGGTCATGTTTGGTTTAGTTGTCGGAAACTGTTTTTTGTTTTCAAACTTTCAAAAACACCTAAAACTTGTTTGTTTAACATTTTTGTTCTTTAAATTTTGGGAAAAAAATAAGATTTGAGTCAAAGAAACAGAAAACAAGTGTAGCTTATTTTTAGAGTTTTCTTTAAAAATTTTAGAAATAGGGAGAATAATTTTGAATGTTCAGATATGGGTATATATATATATATATTATATAAATATCTACGTATATATCTATATATATATTATGAAATTGTTAATATAAAAATAATTTTTTTATTAATGTTTGAATTATTGTTCAAATATATATTTAAACTGTCTAAACAGGTTCTACTATTTTCTGTATTGTAAAATTATTTTTGAAATTATTTAAATAAATAAATTTTTTATCTCAAAAGATATCAAAACTATTTTTTTAAAATTCTTCTCAAAAATTAATTTTAAATATTATTTTTAAAAATACAAACGAAACAAGCCCTTAACGTCTCAAATTTCATACCCACGTTAACGAATATGTCGATATTTTGTATTCTCTACTTTTGCGCCTTTTTGTCGGTGTTTCTCTCTCTTTTGGTCCAAGATGGAGGGCCGTTGAAAACATCCCCTGGAACCCACTCATTTAAACCCACACCACCCGAACCCGCTTATCCTATTCTCCTCACCCGTCACACAAACACCCCAAGGGCTGCGCATTACGCACCCTGGCGCACTTTAAACCGTACCCTGACATGTCCACAACTCTTCCCTCTGATACGCACTAGTCCATTGATCAACTTCACCAGCGACGGCCTCTCCACCTTCACTTCTTATTAAAGAGAAAGAGAAAGTAATCAGAATTGTACGAGTTGGTGAATTCTGAGGAAGAGTTGCGAGGCCTTTCTTGAAGGGAGTTGTGGATCCTCTGCGTGACGTTTTATCCAAAACATTATTTTCTTCGAAAAAACCAATTTTATTGAAAATTAAAATCCTTTTGTTTGACAATCGAATCCCAAATTTCGAGGAATCCTATATCAAGTTAACGGTTTCGGCCGGCTCGGAATTTGTGCTTCTTGATCCACTTGATCACTGCCTTGTCAAACCTCTAGCTAACTCTCCAGGTTTTAGTGTTGGAATTGGATCGAGACGAATCAGTTGCGTACAACTTGCGTGCGTCTGTGTGTATACAGAGAGAAAGGGAAAGGTTTAGAGAGAGAGAGGTGATAAATTGGCTTGAAAGGTTTGGTTTTTGGAGGATTGAAGTGAAAGATCGTTGAAAAGAAGGCATCTTTTGGGCTTTTGGGTCGNAACAAGTGTAGCTTATTTTTAGAGTTTTCTTTAAAAATTTTAGAAATAGGGAGAATAATTTTGAATGTTCAGATATGGGTATATATATATATATATTATATAAATATCTACGTATATATCTATATATATATTATGAAATTGTTAATATAAAAATAATTTTTTTATTAATGTTTGAATTATTGTTCAAATATATATTTAAACTGTCTAAACAGGTTCTACTATTTTCTGTATTGTAAAATTATTTTTGAAATTATTTAAATAAATAAATTTTTTATCTCAAAAGATATCAAAACTATTTTTTTAAAATTCTTCTCAAAAATTAATTTTAAATATTATTTTTAAAAATACAAACGAAACAAGCCCTTAACGTCTCAAATTTCATACCCACGTTAACGAATATGTCGATATTTTGTATTCTCTACTTTTGCGCCTTTTTGTCGGTGTTTCTCTCTCTTTTGGTCCAAGATGGAGGGCCGTTGAAAACATCCCCTGGAACCCACTCATTTAAACCCACACCACCCGAACCCGCTTATCCTATTCTCCTCACCCGTCACACAAACACCCCAAGGGCTGCGCATTACGCACCCTGGCGCACTTTAAACCGTACCCTGACATGTCCACAACTCTTCCCTCTGATACGCACTAGTCCATTGATCAACTTCACCAGCGACGGCCTCTCCACCTTCACTTCTTATTAAAGAGAAAGAGAAAGTAATCAGAATTGTACGAGTTGGTGAATTCTGAGGAAGAGTTGCGAGGCCTTTCTTGAAGGGAGTTGTGGATCCTCTGCGTGACGTTTTATCCAAAACATTATTTTCTTCGAAAAAACCAATTTTATTGAAAATTAAAATCCTTTTGTTTGACAATCGAATCCCAAATTTCGAGGAATCCTATATCAAGTTAACGGTTTCGGCCGGCTCGGAATTTGTGCTTCTTGATCCACTTGATCACTGCCTTGTCAAACCTCTAGCTAACTCTCCAGGTTTTAGTGTTGGAATTGGATCGAGACGAATCAGTTGCGTACAACTTGCGTGCGTCTGTGTGTATACAGAGAGAAAGGGAAAGGTTTAGAGAGAGAGAGGTGATAAATTGGCTTGAAAGGTTTGGTTTTTGGAGGATTGAAGTGAAAGATCGTTGAAAAGAAGGCATCTTTTGGGCTTTTGGGTCGTTAGTTCGACCTGAAGCCTGAGGGTGGTCACTTTTGTGTGTATATATATATATATATGTATTGAAGGCTGTGGAGAGAGCATTTTTTGGATGGTTCTGAGGCATCTGGGTTGTATGGAGATTGGGCTATAGATTGAATTGAATTGTTTTTCTTGAGGGGTTGTATATTGTATATAACATAATATTAGTCGACATGCTTGGTGGAAATTTGTTCCATTGTAGAAAGGATTCATGGCCTCCGGAGGAGTACATCAACCGAACAACCTTACAGTTGGTAAGCACCGTTTCTTGTCTTTGATTTATGCTCCGTTTTTACTATTTTTCTTTTTCTGGGGGTACACTTTGATCTAACCAAGCTTCTGAACGGAAGTAGAAAATTTTTTAAATTTAGATTTGCACTTAAGAATAGACTGCATTTTGAACAGTAAATAGACAAAAAATGTGGATTTTGATCAGTATTTGCGATATATTTTTGGTTTTTCGGCACCCGCTATCCTGATTGGTGCAATTTGTTAGAAGTTTGTTGAGCCATCTGGGGCAGTTTATGAAGGAGAATTTCTAGAACTGAGCAGAGTATGAGACTAATAATCTGAAATCTGAGATTTTGATTCAGTTTGTCATGCTCACATAGTATGCGGTTCGTGCCATAAATTTCCATTTTATCGAGGTCCGAACTTTGCTTTCATTTTCGTGTTTCAGTCAGCAATGTGCTGTTCTCATAGTAATTTTAATTCTCATCTTAATATTTCCTAGTATTATGATTAGAGGGTATAGATCCTGCACCTCTGCAAGTCTTGGTTTATGGTAGTGAATTCCCATAAAGGGTGCCATCCCTGAGAGCTCATCTTAATCAACCTGGCAATTGAAAATTTACCCTCCTTATGTTATCTGTTGGGATGTTTCCTTGTTGGTAAAGAGTTGAAGCGAGAGTTTCTTGATATTTGAAGACTTAGTTGATGAAATGGACATATATATGGGTCAAAACTCAAGTGTTGAGGTGACAGTTTCTTGATGTGCAAATACTTGGTTCATGAAGTGGGTACATATACAATCTCTTTGGCTCTTAAAGAGTTTGTGGCCGTAACTTTTTTGAAACCAATTTTAGGCCTGAACAAGTTTAAGAGCAAAAGTATTGTTGTCTAATGGTCTAGTAGGAGATAAGGACACCATTGACCTCCCCACAACCTTTGGGATAATGTTAAATAGGGAGTACATAGGAAATAAAAATCTTAAGGGGGAGTGGGGGCATCAGTGGTAAAATTTCATGAATGGTAATTCTGTCTTTGAGTACTGTGTTTACTTCTTCCTCATACCTTAAATCAGGATCCTTTGGTGGACTTATCTGTTTGTTTTCTGATGTTGTCGTTGTAGTTCGATTTTGATAGTGCTGCCCCACCAAAACAAGCTTGGAGAAGAAGATTAAACAGCCATGCCAGCATTCTTAAAGAATTCAGTATTACATTTATGGAAGCAGTAAAAATGGTAATCATAGCCCCTGAAATCTATATATTTCATTCAAAGGACGTGTAAATCATACTCAGGTCTCATTTGTTGAATTTTGATGTAGGCCCGACTAGGTATCCGTCTGTGGTCGTATGTAAGGGAAGAGGCTTCCCATGGAAGGGTATCAACTTTATTCATGTCTTGATCTTTTTGTTTTCCCTCTATTGAGGAGTACTGTTCTGAATTTGCTAACATTCAGAAATCAGATAAAAAACAGCTGTTCCTCTATGAAAACTGGTGGAAATTCAAACAACCCTCCTCTTGCACTTGATTTTTAATTTGAATTGTTATTCCCTCATGCATGCAGAAAGCACCTATTGACCCTTTTACTCGAGAAAGTTGCAAACCATCAGCATCCCAAGGGGTTCCGCTCGGAGGGATGGGGTAAGTAGTATGTGAACTATGAGACAGCTCGTTATTTTTATTTTATGTATCTGATTTGGGTCAGGCTTAATGTCACAGGAGTGGCAGCATATCTAGGGGTTTTAGAGGCGAATTCAAGCATTTTCAAATTCTGCCTGGAACATGTGAGGCTTCTCCTGTCATGGCCAATCAGTTCTCTGTAAAGTTCTGCCCTCGATCTTAATCATCTGCTAGTTTCACTGTTCAATCTGGGCTGCATTAAGAATCTGATTTAATCTGTTAACTTATAAGTGTGTTGAATTACATGCAGTCCATAATTTTTTTGATGTATATGCATATCATTTGCATAATATGGTTGTGTTTTGAAGTGCTTGCTGTGGAATCTTACTATTCTGTAGGAGCATGAAACATAGACTAAACGCTGTTTTCCTATATTTTGGGAAATCATGCCTACATCCATAGTAGCTGAAGGTGTAGTCAAGTTTCTGTAGTATATCGGCCCCACAAACTAAAATTGTATGGTGAGTTTACAAAAACAGTTGTACTGTGAGTGGTCTTGGCCTTTCCCACCACTTAGTGTCCCAATACAGTATTCTCCAATTTTTAGAATGATATTAGATTGTCACCTATTTCAATTCTTTGCATTAAATTATCTCAGGATTATTGAGAAGTTGAGGAAATCATATTGTGAGAAGTTGTCAAGTTATTTTCGTTTATGTAAAAGGTTGGTTAACATTAGTAAATCAATAATCTATCAATTTTCTAAAAGAATGGTTTCTTACATTTCTCATTTCTACCACATTGATAGAAAGTGCACTTTGACGATGACTATTGTCAAAAAGCACATTGATTTTCTCACTAACTCTGTGATTGTGTCGATTATCAAACAAGTCACCGAAGAATTTAATACGGATTAAGTAGTATATGAATTTTGTGATATACAATTCAGATTTCGGAGTATACCACTTTAATAATTGATGACGGATACATATATTGAAAACTATTTCTTTGGTTCATTTTATTTTTTTGTTGGTGACTTTGTTTATAATGACGGTATTTGCTTATGGATTGTCAATATGAATGTAGAAATATATCTATAGTTCATGTTGTTGGCTTAGTTTGTGTATATAGAGCTTGGCCCCTAAAAGTTAAAATTCTGGTTCTAGCCCTGGGTACTGGGTAGTATCATAAATTCTCTCTTTTCAAAAAAGCATAAAGAAAGACTTGAGAAATAAAATCTTATTAGATATTGTAGATTAATGGCAAATGATAATCACCGAAGTATAGCATGAGATCATAAAGAACCTACAATTTTGGAGGAAATTATGTGGACGAGCTTTGTATTTTTGATAGCATCCTCTTTATTCTACATGATGCATGCTTAAACAAAAAAGAAACTACATAAGCAAATAAAACAAAAGTACATTCCACATGAGGTTGTCTAACTAGAACAAATGCAAAAAAGAGGAATATTTTGAAATTCCTTTGACACAGAAGTTCAAAAAGAAGTTAAGAAATGAATCTATTCCCAAAGTCCTTCATTCGTGTTGCTTTTATCTAAAAAAAATTCACGCATTCTTTTTCTTCCAAATAACCCAAACGGTAGAAAAAAAAACACAAGCCCAAAAAATCCTTCACCTCTTATTATGTCCCCGTCCCATAACATCCAAGCATATCATAGAACTCATATTTCTCGGCGCCACCCAACAAAAGCCAACATTATTAAACAACATATTCTATAGTGAAAGCGTGGTGGGACAATGTAAGAATAGATGATCCGCATTTTCACTACCTCCATTACACATCACACACCATTGCGCTTGAAGACAACCCGAGTGCCTTCTTCTTTGAAGCACATCATAAGTGTTAATTTTGCCATACGCAATTATCCACAAACATATTTGCACTTTAAAGACATTCTAGCTTCCCAAATCACTTTCGATGGAGGAAACAATGGAATAGAGGGATCATCAATTAAAGATTCAAAGAAGGATTTACATGAGAACACACTGTTAGACTTAAGAGACCAACATCTTTTATCCAAACTATCATGGGATAGTGATACATCACTAAGCAAAGAAAGAAGCTCCACCAACTCTAAACTTTCCCCATCTTAACTAAATCACCTTACTACCAAATCCTACGCCCCTGTAAAACATGTCCAGTATTTAATTTGTTTCTCTTCCTTAGGTTGACTACTCATATATTAAGCATTCAACAAAACTTTAATATCTTCATCAAGTAAAGCTCTACTTATTTCATAGTATTATTTATATCTAGGAACATGATGTGTAACATACATCAAGTTATACTTAGACCCAATCAATTTTTGACACAAATTATTATTATTCATTGTTATTATTTTTTTTAGTTTCTTTGATGTCATGCAATTGGTAACAGAAATTGGATACTTATATAAAATATAGTTTGATCTTAATAAAAATTTAACACCTATAATAATTGTAGATCGGGATAGTGCAAATTTGATATAGAATTTATTTATATTGTCTAGGTTGATGTGCCCATTAAAAAATTCTAGATTAATTTAGTGAAGAAAAGAGTTAGTTTATACCCATGAACTGGAATTTCTATATTTTTCACTCAGACCGACGAGGTCATAACTGTCATACATGCAAAAATTCATAAAACACTCTATGGATAGTTCATTTTTTATGTCCCATGGGTTCAACTAACTCCACTAGCTGTAACCTGGCTTTGTCGGTGGGTGGTGCAGTTATATGTATTCTTTTAAGTATCAAAGTTGATTTAGCCGATTCTCTTTTAATTTATTGCCTCTTAAATATAAAGTCATTAGTCTTTGCAAAAATATCTCAGAAAGACATTTTTTTTTCATTACTGACATATCCATAAATAATATTTTTTCAAAATAAATGTGTTAAACGGTCCGGTTTGGAATTACCTACTTTTAATTTGGTTGGGTTTGTGTTTAAGGTTTCTGACCCGGTTTTTAAATGGGTTGCATTTTGGTCAAGCATAGAGGCATCGACCCATTGCCGCCCTTCTTGTATGCACCATCTTCTTTTTGATGTAATAGGGATCTGAATTTGGCACTAAATTAAATCAATCTCTGGAAGTAAACTAACAAAGAAGTGTTGACTGTTAAAACTTCAAATTGTTTTTTCTTTTCTGTTCTCTATACAACCTTAGATGCAATGTCAAAATGAATACATTGAGGTGAATAATAAGTTGTTGAACTTGACCCAATGAAACAGTTTGGTTTTGTCATTGCCAAAGGGTAGTAACTAATAAACATACCCAATTAAGCGTAAAAGTATTCTTTTTTTGTAAGGATAATCCTATTTTAGCTAATTGGCAATAACTGTTGTGAATTGACCGCTCTAGAAGCTTACTTTGTTGGAGTAGCCAGTTTCCAGCATGATATCTAGGTTGGGCAATCCCATGTTCAAGCCACTTCATCTGCTTGCTAGATGTAATTTGTTTATGTGTATTGTCCATTCATGTTGGCCAAACATGGGCAGGAATGTTGTGCTATATCAATGCACCCAGCTTGACCTTTTAAGTCACCAGTTCTAGCAGTAGCAGCAGTTATGCATCTTAGGATTTTAAGACAAAAGTTTTAACATGGTAGTAGGAGTTGTTCATTAATCCCTAGAATTATGCACTTATTTGTCTTATTATAAAAAGCATAGTACTACATTTTTATGATTTTGAGCATATACATTTGTGTTGAATTTTCTGATTTATTCTTTTGGCATTACAGATTTTTATTTCTCGAGATGGAGGAAATAAAAGTTTTGCATCAGTTTTATCCTCGGGCCAACATGAAGGATTAGGGTAAGAAAATAACTTACAAAGTTGGTTATTGTACTTTGAGGGATATTTATGCTTGTTGCATCGTGTGTCAATGATGATGCGAAAATGATTTCATGAATTTATGAGTAATGTATAAACTTCTTGAAATGTAATCCTTTTTCAAGAATTGAGTTTTCATTGCAAAAAAAGGCCAGCATTAGGATCAAAATTCTTAATTTAAATGAATTAAGAAAAGTACAGAGGACTATTACCATTAATTGCAGTAGCTTATGTATCATTGTGGTAGATTTTTGTGTAACTGACACTAGGCTTGCCTCTGGCTATCTTTGAGGTTACTGCCCCTGGCCTAGATGAGACAACCAAATAGCCCGGGCGCTCGAGATTGAGTTCAGCTCGTTTTCAAATGAGTCTAATTCTTTGATCATATTCGGTTCATATTTGTACACCAACGATGCTAAGAACCAAGCCCGAATTGGTTGGTTGTTTTAGCAGCCCTAGGTGGAGTGGAGGGGTTGCGGGAGTCATTACTTTTTAGGATTTAGGGAAAATATGTCTTATTCATGCCTTTGTTTTCTGTATTGGATTTACACACTTAGCACAAGTGAAGCCATTTGAGACGTTTAAATTCCAAGCATGCTTCAAATAATGTTTTTTTTTGGAGTTAAAAGCATTGATGTTNGCATTTTGGTCAAGCATAGAGGCATCGACCCATTGCCGCCCTTCTTGTATGCACCATCTTCTTTTTGATGTAATAGGGATCTGAATTTGGCACTAAATTAAATCAATCTCTGGAAGTAAACTAACAAAGAAGTGTTGACTGTTAAAACTTCAAATTGTTTTTTCTTTTCTGTTCTCTATACAACCTTAGATGCAATGTCAAAATGAATACATTGAGGTGAATAATAAGTTGTTGAACTTGACCCAATGAAACAGTTTGGTTTTGTCATTGCCAAAGGGTAGTAACTAATAAACATACCCAATTAAGCGTAAAAGTATTCTTTTTTTGTAAGGATAATCCTATTTTAGCTAATTGGCAATAACTGTTGTGAATTGACCGCTCTAGAAGCTTACTTTGTTGGAGTAGCCAGTTTCCAGCATGATATCTAGGTTGGGCAATCCCATGTTCAAGCCACTTCATCTGCTTGCTAGATGTAATTTGTTTATGTGTATTGTCCATTCATGTTGGCCAAACATGGGCAGGAATGTTGTGCTATATCAATGCACCCAGCTTGACCTTTTAAGTCACCAGTTCTAGCAGTAGCAGCAGTTATGCATCTTAGGATTTTAAGACAAAAGTTTTAACATGGTAGTAGGAGTTGTTCATTAATCCCTAGAATTATGCACTTATTTGTCTTATTATAAAAAGCATAGTACTACATTTTTATGATTTTGAGCATATACATTTGTGTTGAATTTTCTGATTTATTCTTTTGGCATTACAGATTTTTATTTCTCGAGATGGAGGAAATAAAAGTTTTGCATCAGTTTTATCCTCGGGCCAACATGAAGGATTAGGGTAAGAAAATAACTTACAAAGTTGGTTATTGTACTTTGAGGGATATTTATGCTTGTTGCATCGTGTGTCAATGATGATGCGAAAATGATTTCATGAATTTATGAGTAATGTATAAACTTCTTGAAATGTAATCCTTTTTCAAGAATTGAGTTTTCATTGCAAAAAAAGGCCAGCATTAGGATCAAAATTCTTAATTTAAATGAATTAAGAAAAGTACAGAGGACTATTACCATTAATTGCAGTAGCTTATGTATCATTGTGGTAGATTTTTGTGTAACTGACACTAGGCTTGCCTCTGGCTATCTTTGAGGTTACTGCCCCTGGCCTAGATGAGACAACCAAATAGCCCGGGCGCTCGAGATTGAGTTCAGCTCGTTTTCAAATGAGTCTAATTCTTTGATCATATTCGGTTCATATTTGTACACCAACGATGCTAAGAACCAAGCCCGAATTGGTTGGTTGTTTTAGCAGCCCTAGGTGGAGTGGAGGGGTTGCGGGAGTCATTACTTTTTAGGATTTAGGGAAAATATGTCTTATTCATGCCTTTGTTTTCTGTATTGGATTTACACACTTAGCACAAGTGAAGCCATTTGAGACGTTTAAATTCCAAGCATGCTTCAAATAATGTTTTTTTTTGGAGTTAAAAGCATTGATGTTTTACCTTTATTTGGTCTTTATCTCACAGAAAATCTGGCGATCAGGGTATATCATCATGGGGCTGGAATTTGAATGGCCAGCACTCCACTTATCATGCTCTATTTCCGAGGGCATGGACAATATATGATGGTATCATGTTACATATCCTTTTGTCGAAACATAGAGATATTCATCTCAGAGAATGTTCTGGTGACAATATTTTTCTGAACTCCAGGAGAACCGGATCCAGAGCTAAAAGTGTCTTGTCGACAAATATCACCATTTATACCTCATAACTATCGAGAGAGCAGCCTTCCTGCCACTGTTTTTGTTTATACAGTATGCAAATTTCACTTCTATATTATATTTTCTTGTCACCTTTTAAGTTCGGAACCCAACAAAATATCACGTGATTCTCCTCGCATGCTGTAGATCATCAGAGATTCTGTTAGCTAATGACCTGAAGAGCTTCGTTTTAGTAACAAAAGCTTTTGTTATTAATAATTTGTTGATCAACTATTGATGAATTCTAAAGTTTTGTCCTCTGTTTTAATGTATTGAAAAAAAAATAGTTAATTGAAGAACATGCTTTTGTTATTTGATACTAGAGTTATTGAGCAGATCTTTATTCTGTGCTTTGCTTATGCAACGGTTGCTTGTTTCTTTTATAGTTGGTGAATACTGGGAAGGAAAGGGCAAAAGTTAGCCTTCTTTTTACATGGGCGGTAAGCTTTTTCTGCTGATACTGCCAAATTTGATTCAAGCTGTAGAAGATATTAGTAGCGACTGTAAATTAGTCATCATTATTTGTGTTGCACAGAATTCAATTGGAGGAATCTCACACCTGTCCGGAGATCATGTGAATGAGCCATTTATGTGAGTATATGCAGTTTGGTAATTGTTTTGTCTGCGGTTATTTGGTTATGGAGTTTGATGTTTTCTTTTGGTATGTCCTTTCTTTTGTGACAGAGGAGAAGATGGAGTCTCTGGCGTACTTCTACATCACAAGCAAGTCATCAAACCTTATTAGCTAATATGACGGTTGGTTTGCAGATTTGTTTGGTTCATTCCTGTGTTATATAGGTCATAGAGGAGGGAAGGTGTTGAGATTCCGTGTCTTTTAATTCATCAATTGAAGCTCTGATGATTTGTACTAGGTGAATAGGTTTATTTCATATCAGCCTACCTAAGAAATCAAACCCAATTGCTTTTTATGGTTGACTCTCTGATGCAATTGGTTTAATTGGGATTAGATTTGTTAAATTGAGATAGAAAATGTTGGATATGTCTTTTTTTTTGGCTAATTGATTGAAAAAAAGTAAGTAAAAGTGAGAAGAGAAAAAGGACACTTTGGTTGCTAGATTGGAAAATCGATGCTGAAATCTTCTTTAATTGTCAAAGATGAGTGCTCATTAATATGAAAAAGTGCAATATGAGTCCATCAGGAAACCTGAAATTATACTCTATCTGAACATTGATGCAATTTTCTTTTTCCTATGTAATTGCAAGTTTATGTGTACCATCCTTTCCTCCTTCATACTGAACTGCTAGCCTCCGATCATTGATATTTTGCCCATTTCAAGTGTGGCTATAAACCTCAGAGCTCCCCTGTACTAGTTTTTAAGTCCTTGAAGTAAATGTTAAATGTCACAATGAACTTTTAAAGAAAACTTTGGAATTGATTTCCTCCTTGCACCGGATTAATGAGGGAAAGACAAACTTAGCTTATTTTAATACTATTTGTTGACTTGTTTTACCATTAGCTGACACTACAGAAACAATATTAGAAGTGAAGGGTGACTATCCCCGTTAGAGTTTGTGCTTGTGTGTCTGAATGCGCATGCACATGTCTGTGTGCAGAGGGAAATATCTCTCATTCCTGTGCTTTCTACATTGGTTGTGTAACTTTCTTAGATGCAATCTCTTCTTGTTCTCTGTTTTCCTTCCATTTGATTTTATGCTATGTTACAGTATGTTTGGTATGCATGTACACTGGTAAATTATCATTGTTCTCTTTTTCATCACCATTCAAGGTTTGGGCCTCAGATTGATTGTTCATATTGACAGGCTCAATTGCTGATATTAAACTCAGATCAACAAAGCCTTGTCTGAACATTTTTGGGAATTGATACTACATAGAACTGTTTTATAAATAGCAATTATAGTAATACATGAACCAATATGCCTGTTGAAAACAAATTAGAACTGCATTCTCTTCAACTTTTAAGCTGATTGAAAGTGCATTTCCCATTCCCATACTTGGTGATGTTTGTCATGTGTGTCATCAAGAGTAGGCATGTCAATCTGTATCCCACAAAATTACCAATTTCATGTTGATTCCAAAATGTTTTCCTTCTTGAGGTGTTCACGTGACATGGTTTATGAAATTGTCTTGGGCTGAAGATTGGAATTAGGAATTGTCTGCATTGTTACATAACATCGTTATGTGCATGCCTATAGTATGAAACGGACAAACAACATTTGTACGCTTCCTGATGAATGTTTGGCATTCTTTGCACCATGGGATGGCTCTTTTAAGTAGGGTAACGGTGTTTGACTCAGGCTTGGCTTCGTGCATGTTAAATAATATATCCAGGATCCATGATTAGCCGGCATAAAGTATTTGTGTTAGCCTTTTTTGGGGGTTCAGTCAAATGATGAGAATCGCATTCTAGAGCCCAATCAGTTAAAGAACCGGTTATCATATGATGGATTTGGCAATGCTTTAGTTGAGCAGAGGTGGACCACTAGAATACAGTTTGAGAATACTTAAGTTTACTTATTGGACTCCTTTGGCTGTGCTTGGTTTGCATTAGGAGTGGTTTTGACTATTATTCTATGTGAATAAAGTAGACTGATTCTGGTTATCATAGTAAATCATTAAACAAGTGCTTGAAAGTTACTCTGCCAAGGACCATTATCTGATGCAGTGGTAAAAGTGCTGGGCACTTGGCTAACACAAAAAGATAATGGGTTTGAATATGAGGCTGTCCATTTGGTAAAATACCAAATATTAGAATTTGGTCAGTCCACCTGCCAAGCACTCACGATTAACTGGGAACAAATTGGGTAATGACCCTAGGTGGTTAATCGTGTTTGGTTGAATCCCACCGAAAACTGAATTTCTTTTTATTTTGTTAAATCTTGGTTTCTAAATATCATTTGTTTAAATGAGTTAATCAACTTAAGGTGCAACTATTTACTGAATCTTTTCAAAGAACTATTATAGTGCGAAGATTTTCATCTTGGTTGGTGAAATTATTGTCCAAACATAGACTGTTTGAGCAGCCAATATTCTAAAACAATTATTATGTTCTATTTGAAGTTGCATAGAGCTTTGAGATGCCTCTCACAAGTTAAGATATTCCTGCAATTTCATACTAGAATAGTTGCATATGACATTTAACTTCAAAGCATCCCAGCAATGGAGAATCGTGTGACGATATCAACACTCAAGTAGTGTTAGCTTGATGTCAAAATATATCCAGATTGCCTATTCAGTAAACAGATTAGCACCATCTAAAAAAGGAACGCCAGTACCCATTAATGGGGTCTGGGAGGGGTAGATTGGGCACAGACTACGTTGCTTTTATTGATTTCATCAAGGATGTCATTAAATGTGATATAAATCAATTGGTTTATACGTTATCGAAATTTATATCTATGTTGGATTTGGCCCCATTCTGCTTGAATTAAGAAACTCTGAAAATATAGTGCTGCTTTCTTATGATAATGCATGGGTTGCAGGACTGCAAAAGACAACCCTCCTGTTACTTACGCAATAGCTGCATGCGAAACTCAAAATGTGAATGTTACCGTTTTGCCCTGTTTTGGCCTGACTGAAGGCAGCTGCGTTACTGCAAAACATATGTGGGCTAAAATGGAGCAGGTAGCGACTTTCTGATTTTTATGTTACCTTTTCTGCACTTACTCTTTGTGCTGTATGCTTTGGGCTACCTAGTATGAGTAATTTTTCCTTCAACACTGGATTGTCTTGTTTGTTTTCAGAAATTTATCTTACCAATCTTTGGTCCTGGATATCTTTCTAATTGTTGACTCCTGTTTATGTATCTTAAGGATGGACACTTTGACCGGGAGAATTTCAGTACTGGACCAAGCATGCCGTCATCACCTGGAGAGGCACATTGTGCTGCAGTTTCTGCTTCCACATGGGTTGAACCACATGGAAGGTGCACCGTTGCATTTGCACTTGCATGGTCATCCCCGAAAGTAAAGTTTTTGAAGGGCAAATCATATCATAGGTAATTCTGTGAACTTCTGGTTTTCTAATTTTCACCTGTACATGTGTGAGTGTTATTATATAAACAACGCTTGTAACCCTTACATATCTGAAAAGCCGATTTACATCTTTTGGCCTTTTGTTTGATAGTATAAACTATTCTATATAAGGTTTCTTTTGGAGAGAAAGGCGCCGTAAACATAAAAATCAAATGTGTGTTTTCTGTTTTCTTTTCAATTCTTATTCATCGTTATTCACACTGATGCATAATATTTCTAGGCTGTCAACCAGAAAAAACTGAATGTATTATGGATCTTGATAATGGGCTTAGGATCAAGTATTCTGGCTATTCGTTTTGTATACTTCTGTGTGGAATCTAGCCATATAAACATGTGCTGATATTCCTTTTAAATTTTCAAGTGATACTACCTCTTTAGTTATACCTGCAAATTGGTAAATATTCGCGTTAATCAGGTTAGTTTTGTGAATATTCTCTTTACTTATTCTTCCTGATTTATTCTTTTTTTGGGTGGGGTGTTACAGGAGGTACACTAGGTACTATGGCACATCCGAAAGGGCTGCTCAAGACTTGGTGCATGATGCACTAACAAGTAAGTATCTCTCTCCTGGATCCTCTTAACTCTCTGTCAACTCAGGATTTACACTCTTGAAGTTTATTACCTAAATAAACTAGATGATAACTGCTGAAGATTTGTCTTTCGGAATGTGATCTTTGTATATGAGAGGGTTGGGCTTTGTACTTTCTTGTAAGAGTTGTTTTGATTTAGGATTCACTGAAATAAACCCTTTCAATTTTTGATCAGGTTATAAGCGGTGGGAAGAAGAGATTGAGAAATGGCAAAGTCCTATCCTCAGTGACAACAGGCTACCAGAGTGGTAAGCTGAGATGGAACTGTTGTAATTTGTGATAAATGTTATGCCTTGTTTTAGTTGGCTGCCAAGCTAGTGAATTGATGCTCATTTTGAAGTGGGCTTGGGGTGACATCTTTCGTCTAGAAGCCTACAAGTTTGCATTTAATTTGCTACAGGCCACGGCTCCAGATCTTAATGCTCATGGTTATTGCACATGTCATGCCACAGACACGCATTGTGATATCCTTATGGTATCACATTGGGAACAGTTTCTTTATGAAACATTGAGGCAAAAAAATCTCTTTAAAAATCAAGCACTAGCGCCTATGCACACACATTGTGGCATCTAACCTTTGATGCTTGGCACACAGGTTTCATTTCTTTGGGCTCTACATGAAGCATCACTTTTCTCTGTTTGATGATTTTGCACTTTATTCTATTTGAAAATGCATAAAGCGTCCTAATATTTCTTTTCTTTTGTTTTATTTTTGGTGCTCATTTAACTCTAAGAATGCTTAGAATCCTCATCCAATATGAACTTTGCTGATCTGAGCATATGGAAGACCTGATTAGCAAACCCGTGTGCAACTATTGGCTGTCACGCTGTGAATCTTCAAAAAGATAGTTTTGGTTGGAGATATCTTATCTTTCATAACATGTTTGTAATGATCCATCTGTTCTTTGCAGGTACAAATTTACATTGTTTAATGAGCTGTATTTTTTGGTTGCTGGTGGGACAGTGTGGATTGGTAATCTTCTGAACTTAAATGTCTTGTTACTCCCCATCTTCTTCGACTGGAAATAGACAATCCGCTTCTTGCTTGCATCTTATATGAGCACATGCACTATGCCTTATCTTGCACTTGCATTTTGCTAGTAGTTGGGGAATTTGAAATTTTTGTGTACCATAGTTGTCATGGCAGGGTGGCTAGGGCATGGGTAATGGTGTGCACTTGGGGGTTACAGTTCTCTTTTTTTTTTTTTTGAAGTTGGCTGCTGCTGTTTTTTTTTGTTTTGGGGGGAGAGAGAGAGAGAGAGAGAGAGAGAGAG